GACTGTCGGCGTTGCAGACTGCCGAGTAGCCACATATTATCAGAACAGCGAGGAACGTTCTGTAGGAATGTTCTTCGTGGATAGTGCATCACCCCGAGGATTTTTGGTACGTTGATAAGTACGGCAGCCCCTGTTGAATCGTTGTGTTCCGATATTATTGTGTTCCGGTATTGTGTTCTGCTTTCGTGCGTTGGTCGAGCGACGGGTGGTGCTGTGGTGCTGTGGTGCTCGCCCCACCCTTGCTCACTCTACCTTTTGACCTGTTCTCCTGGTCCAATGTCTCATTAATACAACATCTTTTCCCCAGAAGCCACGAGTTTACCNGTGCTCGCCCCACCCTTGCTCACTCTACCTTTTGACCTGTTCTCCTGGTCCAAGGTCTCATTAATACAACATCTTTTCCCCAGAAGCCACGAGTTTACCGACACATGGGATGCCCCACGTGTTCGTGAGTCTGCGAACATTGCTGTTGGATACATGTGCTGGATGATTTTGTGTCACGCAGACTGGTAAGATAACCGTTTGATAGGGGGCACCGCGATGATTCACGGGGNTACATCATCAAAACAGTCTCACCCGATAAATAAGTGGCGTAGGCCGCAAACACCACGTGTCCCGTGGGACGTTCCAGTGTGGGACGCGTGGGACGTCCAATGGGACACGTCGTGGGACGTCCCAGGGCTGTCCCGTGGGACGTTCCACGAGACACTTGGGACGGCCATTGGACGTCCAATGTGTCCCATGGGGCAGCCCTGGGACGGCCCACGTGTCCCATGGGACAGCCATTGGACGGCCCACATATCCCATGGGACGTCCAGTAGGACACAAACGTCCCGCGCCTACACTCGAAATAGAGTCCAGATATGCATACGACGCACAAACTCACCTTCGCGAGTACAGAAGTAAGGCCTACCAACGATGCAAATGCAATACGTTGCAGCCCCCCCCGCAAGTACTGGGTGTCCCAAAAACCGCATGGCTGTCCCATCGGACTCGTGGGACGTCCGATTGCTGTTCCATGGGACACGTGGGACGCCCATTGGCCGTCCCATGGGACACTTGGGACAGCCGTAGTGTCCCATAGGACAGCCAGCCAATGGACGTCCCACCACGTGTCCAATGGGGCAGCCAACGTGTCCCATGGGACAGCCATTGCAGGTCGCACGAGTCCGATGGGACAGATATGGACGTCCAGCGTGTCCCAAGAGACATACACGGTGAAGGTGGAACGTCCGAGGGACGCAAGCATCCCACACGCATACGAGTTGGCAACATCATATGAATTATCGCTGGAAGACGGGGACAGACGACAGTATGAGTGGGAAGCATTACTGCTTAATGTACCTTAGACGTAATAATGTCGTCGGCCTCGGAGACTGTTTGGGGTGCTCGGGAAAGTATACTGTCTACGGGGCCTGGGGGGGTACGCGGATGAAATGTGTTGATGGGCATGCTGCATGGCGATGGTGTTGCCTACCGCGTGTCTCTCACTCTCTACGCAACAAGGACTTCTTGAGTCAACCTTCTTTCTCTTTCGGCCTCTAGTTGCCGCACCCAAACACAATATATTGTATGGCCTGGTGTTGGTAATGGGTATTGGCGTCTGAGTAGCATGCGCCGGGCCAATGGGGCAGCGACTACGGTATGTATAGCCAAGCTGGGACGTGGCCAACGGGGACGGGACAGCAGAGGGTGTATTGCTGGGACAGCGCTTCAGGGCTGGGGCAGCAGGGTAAGGGATATTTTTCAAGTGTAAATTATAGCGGAGAGGAACGGCGGAATAGGAGGAGATTTCGCACAGGGAGGAGACTACAGTTGTGCGCATCAAGATAGAGGAGGGTCGCGCAACGCAGCAGAGAATCTACGAGCTGCCGAATCGGAGGTGGAGAGGCTGGTGAAGGCACTTAGAGCTGCGGAGGCTGCCAAGTATGAGAAGGCGAGACTTAGGCAGCAGCAGCAGCAGCAACAGCAACAACAACAACAACAACAGCAGCGATGGAGTGCTCAATCGCAGCAGCAGCCACCGCAGTTACAGCAGTGTTCTCGTGGTAGTTTTGTCCGTCAGCAGGACCAACACCGCGTTTTCGCTCAGAGTCAATAGGAGCGGCAGCACCAGCAATCGGCGCGGCAGCAACAGCAGCCGCCGCCATGCGGAGTTGGTGGGATACTTCCTCTGTCACATAAGTAAAGTCCGTTATGATTCCACGGCCATTTAGCCGTGTCCGATGTCTTAGGCGATACTTTTTTTGAAATATTGAGCGTTTTTCGGGTTGAAACCCATATCTCTTTTTTTTCTTGCGCACTACCCGGCATGCACTAGTGGCTTACAAAAAAGTAGTCAGGCCAAAAAAGGCCGTATTTTGCCCCTTTCCATGAGGGTGGGGGTGGGGGCACGAAACGAAACATACCAAAAAAAGACAAGAATTATCTCCACCGCCATAGCGTACCGACGACCCAACGATACTTCCGCACCCCGCTTACGACGTGGGGGTGTCTGGGCGTCGTCCCCCATGATAGCTACGTCGTTGTGGTGGTAGTGGGTGCTCACACAGCACAAACCTAACTAGAGCTTCAGGAACACCTTGGCTGGTGAGGTGTAAATTCCCCCATAACGGATTTTACTTATGTGACAGAGGAAGTATATGACTGCGGGAGCAACGCCGTGTATTTCCGGCAGGAATCACCCCCTCCGCCCGGTACTTTTTACCGTTGCACTTGGTGCGGCAGGAACGGCCACCACGGCGGAGAATGCGCCGCACCCCACAGGTTCGAGGGTACGCGCGGCGCCTGTGGTCAGTATGGCCATGTGTGGCGGAACTGCGCGGTGCATCTTCATGGCAGCAGCGGCGAGGATGACGGCCGTGTCGTCCGCGGTAGCTGCTGGATGGGCGCAATGGCGGCGACAGCTGCATCGACATCGGTGGCGGCGGCGGCGGAAGTCCGGTCGTACAGCAGCAGGTGGTAGTCGAGAGCGAGCACCGCTCTGATTTTGTTGACCTGGTTTGGCGGCGAGGTGGTGTCAGAGAGCGAGTACCGCTCTGATTTTGTGGACCTGGTTCACGTTGGCGACGAGGTGGTGGCAGAGGGCGACTACCGCTCTGGTTTTGTGGACCTGGTTCACGTTGGTGGCGAGGTGGTGGCAGAATGCGAGTACCGCTCTGATTTTGTCGACCTGGTGTACGCCGGCGGCGCTGTGGACAGTGATGATGATGGATGGTGTGGATGGAATGATTCTGTCGACATGGTTCACGCTGGTGGCAGTGTCTGCGGTGATGTTTTCCCCGCTGCTGCGGAGGAGACAATGGCCGGAGCCCCCGCGGCGGCGGCAGGAGCGGCAGCATCGGCAGCAACTCCAGCGGCGACGACGGCGACCTCTGGCGGCAGTGTTCCCCCCGCGGCGGCGGCGGCGGGGGTGGCCGGAGTCCCCGCGGTGGCAGCAGGAGCAGCAGCATCGGCAGCAGCTCCATCGGCGACGGCGGCTACCTCTGGCGGTAGTTTTTCCCTCGCAGCGACGGCGGCGGGGGGAATTGCCGGGGTCCCTGCAGCGGCGGCAGGAGCGGCGGCATCGGCAGCATCTCCAGAGGCGACGGCGGCGACCTACGGCGGCGGTAGTGTTTCCCTCGCAGCGACGGCGGAGGAGGCGCCCGGAGGGCTCGCAGCGGCAGCTGGAGCAGCGGCATCGGCGGCGGTTCCAGCGGCGACGGCGGCGGTACCCGTCGACACGGTTATCTCCGCGACGGTGGCGGGGGGAACGACCGGAGCGCCCGCGTTGGTGGTTGGAGCGTCGGCATCGACGGCGGTTCCAGCGNAGGAGGCGCCCGGAGGGCTCGCAGCGGCAGCTGGAGCAGCGGCATCGGCGGCGGTTCCAGCGGCGACGGCGGCGGTACCCGTCGACACGGTTATCTCCGCGACGGTGGCGGGGGGAACGACCGGAGCGCCCGCGTTGGTGGTTGGAGCGTCGGCATCGACGGCGGTTCCAGCGGCAACGGCGGCGGCACCCGACGGGGTTGTTTCTCCCGCTGCGGCGGCGGGGAGAATGGCTCGAGAGCCCGCGCAGGTGGCTAGCGGTGGCATCGGCGGCTGGAGTGGCGACATCGGTGACGGCACCCCCCGGGACCGCGGCTACGGTACCGACCGCTACGATGGCGACCGTCGGTGACGTTACCCCCACCATATCGGTTGGGGGGGCGGCCAGCAACGGAGAAGCGGTGGTCAACGGCATCGACGACGGCAGCGNAACGGCGGCGGCACCCGACGGTGTTGTTTCTCCCGCTGCGGCGGCGGGGAGAATGGCTCGAGAGCCCGCGCAGGTGGCTAGCGGTGGCATCGGCGGCTGGAGTGGCGACATCGGTGACGGCACCCCCCGGGACCGCGGCTACGGTACCGACCGCTACGATGGCGACCGTCGGTGACGTTACCCCCACCATATCGGTTGGGGGGGCGGCCAGCAACGGAGAAGCGGTGGTCAACGGCATCGACGACGGCAGCGATGATGGCGGTTGGTGCGCAGGTGAGGTTGGTGACTGCTGGGATGACAGCGTCTGTAGCGAGAGGGGGGCGTCCACGCACCCTTTCGATCCCGGCACCGTGTGTTCGGGGGTGCGCGGCGCCAACGATCCCGGGGTGGACGACCTGGTCGGTGGCTCCGACAGCAGCAGCGGCAGCGGCACGAGCGGCACCAGCACCAGCAGCGGCAGCAGTAGCAATGACAAGGCAGAGGTGATGGATGTGGCCTGGTTTTGGGCACTGCTGCGCCCCTTAGACCCGGGGAAGCTGTACCGGCTGAAGGCTGGGAGCGTGGGGCCGGTGATGGGGGTGAACACCCCGTTCGACCCTGGAAAGATGTCGCGGGGGCAACGGCTGGGGCGCCCGTGTTCGCGACCGGAGCAGCGGCAGGAGGACCGTGAAGCGGAGAAGGGAGTTCCGAGGATCGGGCGAGTCCAACAATGACGGCAAGCAGCGTGACTTCTGCTGGGGTCTTAATCTCGGCAAGGCACGTGATGTTTGAGTGCGTATAAATTTTGCTTTGATTTGGTGTTGTGCAATCTGTTGTTTGTGTTGTCTTCAGATCCCCATACAACTGATGCACTTTTCACCGTTGTTTGAATGTCTGCAAATCGCTTTTCCTATCGTTGGCGCACTCGCAGGTTTGGATTTGCTTTGGTTTTGTTCGGTAGAGATGTCCGCTTGCGTGTTACCTTGCAGGGACACTAATTTCTACGGCCAAATTGCAGGAAATTTCCATGATACATTATTATTGCTATTTTTTTGGGAAGCGAACGGAATGTTGCGGCCGGGGGGCTGTTGTTTGCCAGGAAAATATCTCAAATGGCGGTGGTAGTATTATTCCCGCGTATGGTTTCTTCCACTTTGGTTTTTCCTGCTTTGTTGGGATACATTCTCCATGGTAGTTACCGCTATGTTTTTCTTGATGATACTGATATACGTAGGCCTTGGCTTGGCGTTCGACATACTATACTGGGTACAGACGTTGGGGGGCACGCACCGTTTCTCTGTCCCTCCGATGTACCGGTACCCGCCAAGTCATTCTTTGCGGAGTACCAATTTTCCTTTCCAAGCAGGCCTGTACGGCAAACTGGTGTGTGCTGGACGTGTGACGCCTTTTCTTTGATATATTTTGGTTTCTTGTTTAGGTTTGGAGTTTTATCCATGGTGGAGTTGGAATGCAGAATCGTCATGCTGGATTTTGCGGAATCCGCCTGATTGTTGCACTGCTGTCGGAAATCTTGGGGGTGGATGTGATACCATGCTTTCCGCCGCAGCACAACAAGCAGTATTTCTGACATTGGGTTTGGTAGTTCACGTTTGGATTTTCCGCGTTTTCCTGTGGAGCTTGTATGTTGACTAATGGGATGTGTGTAGTTCATGTTCGGATCATTTCCCGCGTTTTAGCTGCGGAGTTGACATGGAATTGAATATTGACTGGAGTTTTAGCTGCGTTTATATGAGGTGTCCGGGGAGCCGTTGGATAGAATAGCTGAGGTGGAGGAAGCCGCATCAGTTTTGATGGACGTTTTAAGAGACACTTGTTTCCGAACACGTTTGGGATGATTTTATCGGTGTGTTTGCGGACTTTGCTTTTAAACTGGTTGTTGTTGTTGTTGTTGTTGTTGTTGTTGTTGTTGTTGTTGTCGTGTTCACATTAAAAACCGTTCCGGTCTCTCTCTACCCAGTACCTTCGTATGTCCGTACTGATCCAACACTCGACGTGGTCGATTCCCGTGGTCGCAGGCCTGTATGTCTGTGTACTGGAGGAAGGGTTTGGTATGTTTCGATGAGTCATGGTTGACGCCTTTGTGCTTCCGAAGGTTATTTGAACTGGTCATTGAGTTGAACATGATTTCTATCTGAGGAATTTGTTCTGGTAGTTGGGGCACGTTTTCCCGGAGTTACCCGTCCCCGTTTTGTGTTGATCTTTACTTGGTATCTTTCCAACAGTAGTAATTGTTTGCGTTTGACTGCTTGAGAAATTGGTAGAACCTTTTCTCAAGAGGGTGGTTTGTTAATTGACAGACCTTTAAGGGGATAGAAATTCAACATCATCAGAAGATTTGAAAGATTTCGTAGAACGTGTTTTATTGGGAGATTGTTTGAATTGGAATGAATGATTGATGATGTCCTTTTGGATGCGTAGTTTGATATATTGTCGTTTTACCTGGCAATGATAGTCGTGACGGGGTTTACGTAGATCGCATCTCGTACTGAGCAAGGGGGTTGTTTGGGGTGCTCGGCAGAGTACACTGCTGTTTTCGGGGGCTCCGGGGGGTACGCGGATGAAATGTGTTGATGGGCATGCTGCATGACGATGGTGTTGCCTACCGCGTGTCTCTCACTCTGTAAGCAACAAGGTCTTGAGTCAACCTTCTTTCTCTTTCGGCCTCTGACGAGGTACCGCACCCAAACAGAGGTGCTTATTTCCCCGCCGCCGACAAGACGGCGTGCTTTCGTCCCCGCAACCCCAAGAGATACTGTCTGTGACAGGGCCTTCGAGTGCGCACGATGGGCATTGATGTTCGCGGTGAGATGAAAACAAGACAAAACAAGGTGTAGACCGCCCTGGGATGCATACACCTTCACTCGTTTTCTCAGACGACAGCGAGTATCTCTCCCAAGTGGAGACGCATTAAGAAGGCTGCATGCACACGGGCCCTTCGACGAAGACCCAAAATAACACCTGACATGAAGGAAGAAGTTTGGGCATGTCATCCCTATTGTAACTACTTCGCGTCGTGTGCGCGTACCCTCCTTCGCCGCACTCGTTGTTACGTACTGCGGTTTTAGGGTCCTTCGTCCCAGGGAGTGCGGACCACCCGCGGATAGGAGGGTGAAAACCTTGACAGGTTTCAACCCAGGTATACCAGGGCAGGTAACACAGCCAGTCAAAAACTCCGCAGAACACGTCTGTCCAAGGCTGGCCCATCATGTAAGCCTTCACGACGAGAAAACCGATGAGTCTTGTCAGGGGACCTACAACTGAGGGTTACCCTTTTCCCCCCGCACTATCGAGGGCAAGGGACAACCCATGACGTTGCATCTCGACTAAAGTTTTTGAAGTAGGCTACCCCCAACTCCTGCGGGCCTCTCGTGTGCCACCCCTGGTGCTGGGTCACTGGTGTAGACTACCCCCTCCTGTGTGACCCTGGGTGGTTGAAGTTGTACGAAAAAATACACTGAAAAACAGACTTGCGGGAAACATGGGAACGTATCCAAAAATGAGAATTGGCGTTTTTCTTCAGAACCATCGGGTGTATTACAAAACCAAAATTATCCTGCGAAACCCCTTCGCCCCAGCTGTGAGATTAGGCTTAGGCCCATTATGCGGGCATAGCTTTTAGCATAAATGGCCCTTTTGAGCATAAGAAAAAGCATAACTAAAAAGGAGCAATGCTCGAGCATATTTCAGCCCCGAAGGAGCATATATGCACGCGCGACGAGCATACACTGCTGCATAATGAGCATAACGCTCATAGATAAGGGCATTTCGGTGCTTGACACATGGCCTGAGGGCGCCTGGTGTTCGATCGTTCGATTATTCGGGTACTTCGACATAAACAGAGACAAACGATGAGATAATAATGGACAAGTGTTTTTAAGCAGCCAGCAACGTGCGCGCACATGCACGCACACACACGGGCTTCCCCTGCGGATGTCATGGCGCGCTCGGCGATAAGCTCTAGCTCTTCCAGCTCTTCTAGCTCTAGCTCCAGCTCTAACTCCAGCAGCTCCAGCTCCAGCTCCAGCTCCAGCTCCAGCTCAAGCTCCAGCTCAAGCTCAAGCTCAAGCTCGAACTCTTCTAGCTCGGAGTCTGATGCGCCAGAGGTTCAAAAGATCGTGCAGACCTCCAACCACAGCAGATCGCACCCAACAGGTCGTGCTCCCGCGACAGAAAAGGATACGAGGGATCCCCCACCAAAAGATCCCTCGTCCCGTGGTGCGGCGGGTGCGGTTCAGCAA